GGTGTGCCCGAGGCAGGCTTCCGCTTTTCGCGCTCGATGCCTGACATCCTGGAGCTGACCATCCTCACCGTCGGAGGCTCCGCTGGAGTCACCAGCTTCTTCCTTGGCCTCGCGGTCGCGGCCTCCCTCCTGAGTTCACCTTCGGCAGCGGCCGCGTCCGCTTCCTGCGGGTTTTGCCGTGGTTTGGAGACGAGCTCGCGGCTCGACTGACGGCCCCTGTTGCTGGCATCGGCGCCGCTGGAACGTTGGGCCCGCCGCCTGGGCCCCCGCCGCGACACTGGCGGCGGTGGTTCCCCTGGCGGGGCCGGGTCGCTGCCCTGCCCGCACGTCCAGTGGTGCAGCGAGGAGGTGTTGCGTATAGAGAAGGAGGGCAATGGGAGGGGGAGGGAATAAGGGGAGTAGGAGGGGCAAGGGGGAGTAGGGGGGCAATGGGGAGCAGGAGGGGTGCCATGGGGAGGAAGGTGGGGCGCAGGAGGGGCCATGGGGAGGGAGAGGGAAGAAGGGCGGGAGAAGAAGAACCAGCAGGAGGATTGATGGGAGGACGGAGAGAAAGGAGAAGGATGAGGGACATGTTGGAAGACGAGGGGGAGGGGCAGGGGGAGGGGGGTGAGGAGCGGGAGGAGCATCATGAAGTCTGGAAGCTTTCAGAGCGGTGGGGCATAACTGGAGGCGCTCGCCTGCGGCAGCCTGTCTGGGCCCGCGCTCCCCACTGCCCCCCTTCGCACTCGTTTGCCAGCTGCAATTGTGAGATGCACTGGCCGCTGTCAGCCGACACTTCCTGAACACATAAAGATCGAGAGATGGAAGGGGCGAGATGGGAAAGGACGCAGGAAGGAGTGTAGGGCAGGAGGCGGAGCAGCAGGAGCAGCAGGAGGAGAGGAAGGAGAGGGGGAAGGGGCGGAGGATGAGGACTGCATGGCTGTGTGACCGAAACGGTACCTGCTTCAAGCTAAAGCACGCTGGGGTATTGGGTACCCAGCGCCCTCAGAAGGGTGATCGATTCGAGCTGCTGGGAAGCAGCTCTACGAAAAAGGGACAGCATTGCCATTGGCCGCCCCCTCCTTGATCCTGATTCTCTCGTGCAAGGCTGCCATCCTCGCCTCGAAACTCAACACATCAGGATTGGCTTTAGCACCGCTCGTGAGAGAGGAAGATTGCTTAGCTCTACTCTCCACGAGTCGCCTGAGGGGCACCGCAGCGTCGATACACCTGGCCAGCTTTCTATGGGGCCCGATTCCGCGCCTGGGGTTTCGAAGGACCTCAAGGCCCTTGGGCCTGGATCGACGACACGCAGCCCTCTGCTTGGCCCTGCGTCGTTGCAGTGCCCAGGTACCGCACTGAAAACAAACACAAGTTGGCGAAGACTTGGCAGGCGCCGCACAACTAAAGTTGCAGGAAGCCCATTGCGGGACCGCCGCCAATTGGTGTCTCATCAAGTTCTTCGGAAACGCGTCAAGGAACTTGGGGAAGCGCTTGCAACCAAGCATGGGAGGTTCACTAGCGGGCTCGCGAATGCAAAGGCAGGTCTTGCGCCGAGTCCCGCACGAGATCCAGCACCAGTCGCGCAAATGCACTCGGTGGGTGCCCCTTTTCCCTGCAGGCACGGGGAGCATGGAAAACTTCGCACCTCGCTCGACGCAGGGGAACACCCGGAACACACTCCAGCAGCGCTCGAGGCGACCGCGCACGCCCCACCGGCCCCCACCAGGAGCTCCGAGGGGGAGGCGGGCGGGCGCAGCCCGGCTGCCTGTTCGGCAAGCGCACCGGCGACCACAGCGGCGTCTGCGTGGTGCGCGTCTCCGTTCTCGGCAGCGTTTCGTGTTCTGGTCGCAAGGTTTGTGTGCGTTGACGTGGTGCACGTGTTTGATGTCATCGTAGCCGCGCCTGGTGGCCGAACATGTGCACTCACGGATACGTCGAACGAGCTTCTGCATGTTTACCTTTTGGCACGAGTGCAGCCTTGAGCAATGCGGTAACACATGCGCGAACGGTTGACGGTCTGTAGACAGGCTGCCCCATGAATGCTAGGTTCAGGTATCCTGCCATTGCCCATACGTTACCGCCAATGGCATGCCTGCATGTGGGCCCATGATCGCAATTGACCAATTGCCCACCAAAGATCCAGCGCGAACTCTAATTCTTCTCCGAGCGCGGGATGTTCTGCCAGCTCCTCTGGTTCGGCATCGAGCTCGTTGCCCTGGATGTCAACGATGTGCGCCTGAGTGCCTGGATTCTTGTCTGGTAGCTCGTCGCTCTGGTACGCGACGCAGCTCTGAGTGACACAGCGGTTGCCAATACCTTCCAGAGCCGTCTGATCGAAACATGTTGGCATTCCTGATTCCGCTCTGGCTGCCATGACGTCGGGCCTGATGCATGAAGGCATTATGTGGTGATCCGTGTCTGGTTCTCCAAAGTGACAATGCCCACACATGGCCGAAATATTCGCGAGACATGTCTGGTACGTGGTCAGCTCTTGCGTTTCTCTGAACGTACCCCTGATGAGGTCAAGCGTGACCCTGGAACCTGCAGGCATCGTTAATTCAATTGCCAAGTCCATCTCCAGGATGCGCTGCATTGCCTTTCCCATTCGGTCCTCTAGGATACCTGGTGACAGGTGTTCGAGAGGAACGTAACATCCGCGGTGGTCACGCCATAACGTATTGCCCACAACAGTCCAACCATTCCGTAGCGCACATAGAGCGGCACGCGCCAGAGGCCCCTTGCTAGAAGGCCATGACCATTCGCCAGGATTGATCAAATCAATTGATTTGTTCCGCCAAGATTTGGGGACGTTCAGCGACATCATGGCAGCGTTCGGCTGAGAGACTGCCAACCAAATCATGATGTATCTTGTAAAGCCGGGGCGATGGCCTGACGCAGCGCTGGGTCTCTATCACTTGCAAGCTTGGCTGACATCGAAGCTCGACCGTGGACAGGTGTCACGTTTCGAAGGTAGTCGCGTCTGCGCTGAAGACGTTGAGGATGCGACAGGCCAACTATCTCCGAACCGTAAGTGGATGCCAGCCTGGCTCCCGTCCTGAAGACACCATCATTTCTCCACCTCAGACATTAGTTCTCTTGTAGCGCTTGAGTTTCCTGACCTTGGGAACCCTCCTCGACCTGCCACTCGCATGGCCGGTTCCAAGGTAAGCTGTTGATGGTGTGACGCCATCCTTGTTGTATTCTAACCTTTTGGTCACCTATATCGCCATCTCGCGGGTATTTGCAACGATCGCACACTTCTCATCGATTGTGGCGCCCATGTCTTTGGATGTGGAAATTCAGCTTGAACCCGCCTCGATTGCGGTATTTGCTTCACTTCCGGTCTCCATGTTCGAGTCGTCGACATTGGCGAAATCAACTAGCGGATGCAGTGCAACGTTTTTGTCGTAATGTTCGACGGCGTGATCTTCGATAGCAGTACTCGCAACACTACATCCAGCTGGAGTAGTGTGTTCCGCATGACAAGAGTCATGGCCGCAATGTTGAAGCAAGACGATGAACCTTAGGGCCCTCCAAGTGATACAGGTGAGCTTCACCAAAGCGCAGAGCTTGGGCCTCAGTTGATCAAGCTCGATTTTCTCACAGTACTTGGAATAGTCAGGTATGCGAGGTGCTGGGCAACGTTTGGTGACAGAGTTGGCCTCAGTTCTCGCTGCCCTTACTATCACCCCCGTACTTCCTCTCAAGGAAAAAAGAAGATAATCATGCTGACACCGTCGAAGCCTCTGTCGAACTCAGCTCAGTACGTTGAGGCAACTCGGGTGGCGAGCTTGTGGCCCCCTTGAGGTTTGGGAGGTATCGGTAGTATAATCCACACCAGTCGCTTTGTCAGTATGCCCAGAGACTCCATCACTTCGTACAGTGCGCCCAACACGCGCAAATCATCATCACTCAAATGGACGAGGTGCCGAGGAGGTAATCCGACAAGACCAGCTGAGGTTGTACATGGAAGACGGACCTGGCAGCCAAGCGAAGATCCTCCGGCTCTTGCTTGGGAGAAGAGCTGCGATCTGGAATCCGAGCATCAGGGGATGTCCGAGATTCTCTCCACGTCTCAGCGTAGGCGTCCTGCATGTTGCCACGAGGTCATGAGGGCGAGCCGAAAACTTACCCCCTGTCGACTTGCTGATGGTGGGAGCTTGAACTTGCCCGCATTGGGTGATCCGATGGTGACCTTTGGCACCTCCTGCGCTGGCTTGGGCGCACCAGGAGGAGGAGGGATGATGATGATGATGATGCTGATGATGCTGATGATGCTGTTGCTGATGATGATGCGGATGAGGATGATGATGATGACGATGATGATGATGATGATGCTGATGATGATGATGATGATGCTGATGCTGATGATGCTGATGATGCTGTTGCTGATGATGATGCGGATGAGGATGATGATGATAATGCTGATGATGATAATGATGATGATGATGCTGCTGCTGCTGCTGCTGATGATGACGATGATGATGATGATGATGATGATGATGATGATGATGATGATGATGATGATGATGATGATAATGATATGATGATGATGATGATGATGATGATGATGATGATGATGATGATGATGATGATGATGATATGAATGATGATGATGATGAAAACGGGGGAGGAACGAGCGGCGGAGGGGGATGTAGGGGAGGAGGATGGCGGGGATGGGGGGCAGGAGCAGGAGAGCGGGAGGGAGCAGGAGCAGGAGGAGAGGTAGGAGGAGGAGGAGGATGGAGGAGGAGGAGGAGGAGGAGGAGGAGGAGGAGGAGGAGGAGGGAGGATGAGTGATGAGGGAGGCGGAGAGAGGAGGAGGAGCAGGAGCAGGAGGAGGAGGAGGAGGTGGAGGAGGAGGAGGAAGAAGACGACGAGGCCTTGGGGGCTCAGGAGGTAGCCCCCGGGGGAGGCCGCAGTCGCTCCGGGAGCCGCGGCCGTCGCTCCCGCCCAAGCGCGCCGCAGCGCGGGGCGGGCGCTCGGAGCGCCCAGCGCCTGGCACCCCCCCCACCGAGGACCGCGGCCTGGGCGAGCAAGGGTGCATGCGGCGCAAGGACCGCGGCCGGGCGGCCCGCCCGGGGTATCCTCCTCCTCTCTGTCCTCCTCCTGCTCCCTGTCCTCCTCCTCCTCCTCCTCCTCCTCCTCCTCCTCCTCCTCCTCCTCGTCTGGGGCGCGGCGCGCGAAGCCGGGTGACCTGCTGCAGATATCCGCGAGGGCCTGTGCGGGGTTGGCCCCTGAGGGCAGGCGGCCGGGAAGCCTGAGAAACGGGCGTCGCAACGCTCTGCTTCGGGCCCTCGAGGCAGGCCGCAGCTCAGGTGAGGAGCTCTCGTCGTGCTGCCGCCCGATTGTTTTTTTTGGTCTGTATTGCGACATCGGATCTCGGAGACCCCAAGGATCCATTCTGAGCCCGATCAGCGTCTGAGCTCGTCGGGTTGCCGACTGGGCAGCCGAACGGACTCAATATGGACATGGCAGTGGGAAGTTGGCCCGCTCGGCAGCCAGAGTGGCTGCATCCGGAGCCCACTCGGCGGTCGAATGAGCTCTGACGCCGAATCGGCTCAGAAGGCAGCCCTGGGGGATGATCTAGGATCGGCCGTGCTTTTCTGGTAACGGGTCTCGACAGGCCGCTGGCCGACCTTTGGATGCGTCAGGTGGCCTCCGCTCAGGGTCGCTCACCCCGCGAATATCTTTCGAGCCCGCTCGACATCGGAGCCCATTCGGCCGCCAAGTGGGCTCAGGATCGAGTCCGTTCGGCTCCCGGAGAGACCAACCTCTCGCTGCCATGCTGGAATGGAGCCCGTTCAGCTGCTCATTCGGCGGTCGACGGGGCTGAGACGCCGAGCCTGCTCAGGAGGGAACCCTGGGGATCAGCCAGCACAGGCAAGCCCTCCCAGAGGCTGGGAAGCAAACGGAGTGGCCAAGAGACGACAGATTCTGACCGGCCTGTACAGTGGAAGCCCATGCCAAGAAACACCTTGCTTGCCTCCAGGGTGCCCTGGATGTCTTGGGTTTCGATGGTTCTGCGATGAAAAGCTCGACTCCCCCTCATACGAAAAATCAATGGACGTCCTGGGTTCTCAGGCTTGGGTTTCTCGCGGAAGGTTCTGTTGTGGTCGAGCTCCTATTGTGGCCTCCTGGGGGGTCTGTGGCTGTTCCCGCCTCCCCCGCCCTTGGCCGGTTTGGTTGGGCCCAGCGGCCTCGCTAGCAGGACGTCTGGGACCACTACTGCGAGAGGACGGACGTCGAGATGGGGTACGTCGCCGCCCAGGCCAGCCCCGAGGTCGGCCAGAGCTTCTCGGAGGAGGACCCCGAGGTCAGCGGCGATAGCGGCTCGAAGCCCATGAGCGCCCTGCAGCTCGGGGGATCGCCAGCGTGGCCATGGCCATGGTCCAAGAAGCCCATGATGGACAAGGCGAATGCCAGTGCACAGCGCGATGCCGAGGCCGAGGCCATGGATGCCTACCCCTCTGAGCCTGGGTGCTACATGAAGATGGCCTCTGGGTGCCCCCAGAACCCGATGAAGACAGACCTGTGGAGGCGCGATTCCTCTTCCTCGTTAACCCCCTCCCCCTTCCCCTCCTCGCCTCTATCCTTTCCACCGTCATTTCCCATTGCCCTTCTCCCTCCCAAGACGCAGCCTCTTCAACCTCCTCACCCTTCCCTGTTCTCTTGGCGTCCTCTCCATTGTCCTCTTCGCCTCTTCGCCGTTTTCCATCATTTCCCATTGTTCTTCTCCCCCGCAGAACGCATCCCCTTCAACCTGCGACAACCCTCCTCCCCCTTTCCGTGCCCTCCTGGAGCCTCCTCCGCCTTCCCCGCCTCGCCTCTCCCCCCGTTTTCCTCGTACTTTCCACCGCCACTCTCCCCCCCCAACAAAAAAAACGCACCCTCTCTTCCTGACCTCCTGCACCTTCCTCTCCTCGCTTCCCCTCCGCTTCCCCTCATTTTCCATCGCCCCCCCCCCCCCCCCCCCAAAACCCTGACAAACAGAAACACGCCATAGAACTGCATCCCCTTCAACCCCCTTCCCCCTTTCCCTTGCCGTCTGACCTCCTGCCCTGTCCCCGCCCCGCCTCCCCCCCCCCCCTCGTTTACTCCTTCCCCGTTGCTCTTCTCGGAGGCCCAGAGGTTGACACCAACACCAAGATCGGCGGTGTGCCTCCACCGAGGGAAGAAGATCCCGATCTCGGTGATGGTGGTAATATTCTGGCTTCCAAGGTGGCCGAAATATTACCACCAACACCGAAATCTAGGATCATCTTTCCCATGTGGAGGCAAACCCCTGTGCTGGTGTTGGTGCCAATTTCCAGGCCTCCAATCTTCTTTCCCACGAAACGCATCCCCTCCAGCACCGCTGTTCCTCCTTCCCCTCTCCCCGGCGCGGCGCTCCGAAGGCCAGCCGCTGCGCTCGCCCCCCCCCCCCCCCCCGCCCTTGCCGCTCTTGCCGGCCTTGCCCCTTCTTCTCCTCATTATGCATATTATTATTATTATCGTTATTCTTATTATCGTTATTATTATTATTATTATCAGTATTATTATTATTATCAGTATTACTATTATTATTAGTATTGTTGTTGTTATTATTATGATTATGATTATTAGGAGTATTAGTATTAGTCATATTATTATAATTATTGTTATTTTGTTGTTTCTTCTTACGCTTATTATTGTTCCTCTTCGTCAGCCCAGGCGGCGTATGTGGACGTGTGTGCACCACCCTAAGCTGGCCATCGGTCTCGACGCTCTCATCTTCGGTATCGTTCGCTCCACATGTAAATGTATCCATAGTTATAGACATGCTGTGATATATGGTACGTCGATGAACACATTCCTAGCTCTCAGCAAAGGCGCGGGCGCAGGCCTGTGCGCCTACTGTGACGCCAGCAGGAGCCTTGCTCGAGGTCCCTGATCCCTGACGTGTGGCCCTCTCTAGGGTCGGAGGACAGGAGGGGAGGGGGAGTGTGGCACGGGCGGGGGGGTGCGACATCTGCCGCGTGCAGCTGGTCTCGGCCTCGTTCGCCGCGTGCCTCCTCCGATGATACTTGGCGCCTTCGGCGGCGGGGGGCGCCGGGAAAGCCGGCGCGACGTGAGCTGAGTCGCTGACCCTGCTTTTGGCTACCAGATCTTGTGGGAAGGATCGCCTCTAGCAGGGTCGGCCGGAGGGCTTGGCCGGGAAGGCTGGCCAGAGGGTTGGTCGTGCCGGAAGGTCGGGTCGGAGTGTTGGCTGGGGCAGTTCTTGGACAGTCAGTTCTTTCCACAGCGTGTGCGTAGTACCCCCCTCTCCTTCGTCCGGCCCGTCGTCCACCCCGACTGACGAAGACCTCCCAGTTGTTGCCTCCTAACTTTCCCCCTTCTCCCTTCTCCTGCTACCCCTACCCTCCCCACCCTCGTCCTTGTCCTCCTCGTCCTCGTCAGCCCCTCTCCTCCGACACCGCATTCGGTGCAAAAGACACATGCGCGCGGCGCTGAGGCGAGAGCTACATTTTGAAAACATTGTGTACCCAAGCCTTGTAAAGGTTGCAAGAATGGGTGGCAAACGTGCGCGGCGCTATGTCGAGAGCCCCATGTTTAAAAGGAGTGGCCCTCCATCCTTGAAACTGCTACAGCATGTTTAGACGAATGGTTGCGGCGCTCAGGCGAGAGCCACATTTTGAGAAATCGCAGCTCTAAATCCATGAATCGATTGCAAACTTTTGAGTCGAGTGTGCGCGGCGCTTATGCGAGAGCCACCTTTTGAAACCTACCTATGTTTCATCCCCGAAACTGCTGCAAACTTTGACGACAGGTGTGCGCGGCGCTGAGGCGAGAGCCACATGATGACAACCGTAAAGTTTCAAGTGTCAGGATCACACATGGTGGGGAAGTCTCAGTCGGAGCGCCTGGCCCGCCCTACCGACACGTCTGGGAGTGCGGCATGAAGAGTTATTTGTAGGGAAACGGGATGGACAAAAAGAGGAGGAGGAGGAGGAGGAGGAGGAGGAGGAGGAGGGAGGAGGAAGGATGGAGGAGGAGGGAGTCGGAGGAAGAGGAAGGATGGAGGAGGGAGGAGGGCCTTCAGCCCGACGCCCCGTGGAGGCACGACCCGTGGGCGGAGCGCCGCGGGCTTGACCGGGCGGGCTGCGAGGGCCGCAAGAGGGTGTGGGACGCGTACTGCGCTGCCAGCGACGCGAAGGCCTTGCGCTGGAAGGGTCGTCCGCCGGGCACAGTCTAGCGTTCTGGGCCTCCCAGATGGGGTCCGAGCAGATGGGGTCGGGGGATCGCACCGCATCGCCGATGCCTCGGCGACGTGGCCTGATGTGGAGCCCGATGTTCTCCACGTCGACGTTGGCGCTGCCTCGCCGACGCCGCCGATGCATCGCCGATGCATCGCCGATGCACCGCCGATGCATCGCCTGTGCGGCGCGATCCTCTGACCCCATAGGCGGACCCCATACTCGGAGGCCTCTAAACAGGGATTTTGGGATGCGTGGATCTGGAGCGTGGGCGCCGGATCCACGGATCGGGGAGGGCCCTCCCTGAAGCGCGAGGCCCGAGCCGCCAGACATGCCGAGGGAGCTTGCCGATTCTGCAACGGAAGCGGGGCACGCTACGAATCCACGCGTCGCTGGTTGATGCTGGCGCTTCCTCGAGTCCGCCTGAGCAAAACAGGCTTGTACCATGTGGGCCCCAATACATATAGGGATTATGCCCCCTCGCCCCCGACCTTAGACCACGCACGCGCACCGAAACGGTGCATCTTTTCGATCGCCCCCCAGACAGCACAAGTCCCAGACCTCAAGTCGTGGGCGCGGGGGGAAGCAGCAGTGCAGTCAAGACGCTGAGATGAGGACGGCTTTGGGCTCAGAAGGGGCTCAGGTGTTCGGGCCGTTCCTTAGGTTCACTCCCCACATCCAACGTGGGGGTCTTGCTTTCTCTGGGCACCCCGCGCAGGAACAGGATGGAAGGCACACCCCCTCTCGTCTCACTCACACACTCGCTCCATCATCGCAGCATCAACATCACTTACACACTCACTCACACTCATTCGACCTCGCCCATTCACTCACTCACACTCACTCACTTATCCTGATTGGCTCACTCAGTCACTCACAACTAGTACTCAGCACTCAACATCATTATCACAATACCACCGTCACCATCGTCATGAGCGCACACACTCACACACCCACACACTCAGCTTGAGGAGGTCTCAGGCGGGAGCCTCGTCTGTGAGTGAACACCATTATTATCACCCATCACCATCTTCACCATAATCACCCATCACCCGCCACCATCGTCACCATCACCATCATCATCACCACCCATCACCATCGTCTTCATCATCGGAGGAAGTCTCAGGCGGGAGTCTCGTTTGTGAGTGTATTGCGAGGAAGTCTCAGGCGGGAGCCCCTCCCTATGGGGCCCGCAGCTCATGTTTTAATCCGAGCGGGTCGTCAGGAAACCTGTAACCGTCGTCACGTTTGGGCCCATGAGGCCTGACTGTGGAGGAAGTGCCAGGCAGAAGCTTCGTTTGTGATTGAGTCGCGAGGAAGTCTCAGGCGGGAGACCCCGCCCTATGGGGCCCGCAGCTCATGTTTGTCACCCGAACGGGTCATCGGACAACCAGTAACCGTCGTCACTCTTGGGCCCCACAACCAAAGTGGGGTTTTGTATTATCTGGACACCCCGCGCAGGAACAGGATGGAAGGAACACCCCGTCTCTTCTCACTCCACACGCACTCACATCAGCATCGCAACGTCAACGTCACTTACACGCTCACTCACAGTCACTCGACCAGTTTCACTCACTCAGACTCACTGACTCTCCTGGGGGGGCTGACTCACTCACTCACAACTACTAGTCAGCATTCATCCTCGTCATCGTCGTTATTACACCACCACCGTCACCATCGGCATGATCATACACATTCACACACCCGCACACTCAGCTTGAGGAGGTGTCAGGCGGGAACCTCGCCTGTGAGTGAACACCGTCTCTATCGTCACCATAATCACCCATCACCCGCCACCATCGTCACTATCACCATCGTCACCACCGTCCTCATCATTGGAGGAAGTCTCGGGCGGGAGCCTCGTATGTGAGTGATTTGCGAGGAAGTCTCAGGCGGGAGCCCCCTCCCCATGGGGCCCGCAGTTCATTTTAACCAATCCGAGCGGGTCGTCAGAAAACCTGTAACCGTTGTCATTTTTGGGCCCCTGAAGCCTGAATGCGGAGGAACTATTTTGCGGAAGCCTCGTCTGTGAGTGAATAACCAGGAAAGCTCAAGCGGGAGCCCCTCCCTTATGGGGCCCGCAGCTCATGTTTTTGTCACCCGAGCGGGTCGTCGGAAAACCTGTAACCGTCGTCATTTTTGGGCCCCACATCCAAAGTGGGGTTTTCGTTTTCTCTGGACACCCCGCGCAGGAACAGGATGGAAGGAACACCCCCTGTCTTTTCATTCGCACTTTCACACACGCACACCATCATCGCAGCAACAACATCCCTTACACACTCATTCACACTCATTTGACCGTTCTCATTCATTCACTCATCTCATACACACTCACTTATCCTGAGTGGCTGACTTACTCACAACTAGTACTCAGCACTGATCACCATCGTTATCACAAGACCACCGTCACCATCGTCATTATCTCACACACACACTCATTCACACACCCACACACTCAGCTTCAGGAGGTCTCAGGCGGGAGCCTCGCCTGTGAGTGAACACCATCACTATCACCCATCACCATCGTCACCATAATCACCCATCACCCGCCACCATCGTCACCATCACCATCGTCATCGTCTTCATCATCAGAGCAAATCTCATGCGGGAGTCTCGTTTGTGAGTGGATTGCGAGGAAATCTCGGGCGGGAGGCCCCCCTTGTGGGGCCCGCAGCTCATGTTTTTAATCCGAGCGTGTCATCAGAAAACCTGTAACCGTCGTCATTTTTGGGCCCCTGAGGCTTGAATATGGGGAAAGTATCAGGCGGGAACCTCGTTTGTGAGCGAATTGCGAGGAAGTCTCAGGCGAGAGCCCCCTCTCTATGGCGTCCGCAGCTCATGTTTTTAATCCGAGCGGGTCATCGGAAAACTTGTAATTATCCGTCGTCACTCTTGGGCCCCTGAGGCTTGAATATAGGGGACGTACCAGGCGGGAGCCTCGTCTGTGAGTGAATTGCGACAAAGGCTCAGGCGGAAACCTCCACCCTATGGGGCCCGCAGCTCATGTTCGACTCCGAGGCGCGTCATCCTTCACCCGGCAAGTGTTCTGATTTTGGGCTCCTGAGGCTTGAGTATGAACAAGTATCAGGCGAGATCCCGATTTGTGAGTGAATTGCGAGGAAGTCTTAGGCGGGTGTCCCCTCCCTATGGGTCCCGCAGATCATGTTAACGAGAGCTCGCCGGCGGATGATGAGAAGGTAAACGGTGACGACGACGACGACGACCAGGTGCCGGAGGAGGAGAACGACGACGACGACCAGGTGCCGGACGACGAGGGCGTGAGGGAACGCTGCATGCTGATACGCCGCCATCCGTTTCTAGGGAGTGCTTGCCCGTGCGTTTCCAGTCCCCTTTTCGGGCGTTTTTCACACGAAGGTTTTCAGATGCATTCGGATTATCATTCATCGGTCTCTTGATGTGGAAACAAGAAGGTGCGAGACCGCTCCTTGAATCTGAATTGACCTTGAGGGTCACGTTCGGAGCACGTAACGACTGGGCGTCTGGTGGTTTTCCTTGCACGTTTGCCGCGCTGGTCGCCGTGTCGTTCTGCCCGAACTGGGGCGTCTCTAACGCCATGGGAGCGGATGCCCGCAGTTTTGGTATTGTGTTTGTTGTCGTTTTGACGTGCGTCCCTGGCTTCGTCCGCTGCAGGAGCCTCTTGCCGGCAGCTGCTTTTTTTTGAAAGCAGCTTTCTTTGTTTCAGTGGCCTCTTCCTCGATACGGCCGGATCCGCTGAGAACCTCTGCAAGCGAGTCTTTCCTTCTGAGCATTTTTTCATTGCAGACGTGAGCCACTGGCCTCGTAAGTCCGCAGTTTTCGTATCGTGTCTGGTGCCCCTCGGACGTGAGCCTCTGGCCCCGCCCGCTGCAGGAACCCCTGACCGGCAGCTGTTTGTTGAAAGGCAGTTTTGTGTTGTTTGGTAGTCGTCTTGTCGATACGTCTGGATTCGCTCGGAAAGTTTGCAAATATGTGTCCATCTGGATGCTCATACTTCAGACGTGAGCCGCTGGCCTCGTCAGCCGCGTGAGCCTCTGGCCGGCAGTTTTTTTTTTTTTGCTGTTCCGTTCCGTTTTGGCGTGAGCCATTGGCCTCGTCCGCTGCCGGGGCCCCTGGCCGGTAATTTAATTACCAGCCAGCTAAGATAGCTGGCCGTTGGGGCAACCCTGCGAGCTTCGAGCGGGGCGCTTTTCATAAGATAGCTAATTATTAGCTATCTTATGAAA